GGGCGGGAGCGGGACGGCGGCGCCCCGCCCAGCCCCGAGGGGCGAGCCACCAATAAAGCCGCGTCCTCTCTGCAGGCTCCTTTGATTTCCTCGCTCCCGCGTCTGCCCCTGGCGGGGGCTCTGGGCAGGGCCTTTGGGGAAACACCTGCTGGGTCCGAAAACCCCTGGGCACCCCTCTGACGAGGGGCGAATGCAAGCGCTCAGTGGCTGTTTACATTCCCTTTCCTGCCTGCTTATTAGGCACTGCGTTTCCCCAAACCGAAAATCCCACCTCCTGGGTTCCAAAGTAAAACATATTTATGGTACATAATTAAGCTTTAATGAAGATCTCCTCTGGGCGCGTGAGACATCGCGCATTTCCAGCGCGCACTCCCGGGCCCAGAGACGCGGCCTGCTGCCTGCGACTGCACAGCAAGCTGCCTCTTACCCCCAAGGCAAGGCCAGCGCTGGCGATGGAGCTGCAATCCTTCCCACCAAAAGGAAGCAATGAAACTGTTCTAAAAAGCATCTCTTAGACAGAATCTGGGCACCTCCCAGGCTCCGGGCATCCGAGTTAAGGTGGGGAGGGGAGGCGCGAAGGTTCTGGAATTGTCCTGTTGGCTTTCTCACTTTTCAACTTTGTCAAGAACTGTAATATGGCAAGTGATGTGAGGCCCTGATGATGTTTAGGTGCAATGGACCCGGTCCCAGGTCGTCAGGAACTTGTATAAATATGAGTTTGTACCTTTATTTCCTTTCCTGGTCAACTTCAGTCAGCAATTACACTGCCAAGAGGACTGAGGCAAGAGACCTCTTATCTCAACAGCTGTTGGGTTTCTTTGCTACTGGAGGCGTCACCTTGCTCAGATCCTAAAACGAAGCATGGGTTTCACAGTGTCCAAAGCAAACCAGTCTTCCCTAAATTCACTGACCAACTTAAGGATGGCCAGTTGCCTGGTGATGGAACTCCCGAACACAACCCCCTCCCTGCCCTGTAAGGCAAAGGGCCCGTCCTACCACCTGAGGAGGGAGTTACGTTTCATCTTCCAGCGTAAATATTACTTGGTCTTCCTCACATGAATATGTATGTACCATGCCACAGCCCTGCAAAGGCCCCGAAGGCCTGGCAGTCGGTTCACTTTGGGGAGTGGGCGGGGTCGTGAGGAACTGGAGCCCAGGTTCATAGCAACTATGCAATCTCGGTCACCTCGTTTATGACTGCAATTAGAGGCAGAGAAGGAATATCTCACAAGAGTTTGCTTGCCACAGAACCTAAGCGGTTCCACAGGGAAGAAGTCAGCGGTGCAGCCAAATTAGATTATAATCTTTAAGGTCATGACCAAAATGTCTTACTCATCTCTGTGAACCCTCAAATTATCGCATAGCAAAGACACACAGGTATTTGTCGAACAAATTATAATAAAAAGAGAGTTGCTATTTGCCTTTTGGATTTTGTAAAAGGATTGCGGGAGAGTCAGGAGCGAAGGTTACTGAATGAGTTATTCTCAGCCTATGGAGCCTGCATGACAATCAGTTTCTGGTCCAATTCAGTTCTCTCATGGGAGTGACTTCAGATATCCAATTATTATTGGTATTATTATCACTCTTTATGGTAGAAACAGCAGCTACCATTTTTAGTAGCTAATATGCACCAAACACCTAAGTACACAATTTACATACATTATTGCTAAACCTTACACTCAACAAGATAGGAATGTTCCCATTTTACAGTTGCAGATACTGAGGTTCAAATTGCCAAAGGTCAGAGGATCCTGCCTCAACAACAGTGGTGGTTTCTTCGCTGCCAGACCTGGCAAAACAATCTCTGGTCATTCAGCTTTATTACTTTGGTTTGCCGAAAACTTGATTAAAGGAGACATGGCAATGGAAATCACTTAAGAGAACTGATGCTTTGAAGAAAGCACTTTTGAAAATAACCTATTACCTTAAGCCATCTTGGGTGTCTCTGCACAAGAAAAAAATTGTCCTACTTTTGGACAGCCCATAGTTTCAGCTGAATGCATCTTCTCCATCCCTGCGAATCATACCAGGCGAGTAGTATTTGTCCTGCAGGGGAGTGGGGGTCAACACACAGGCTGGCTAAAGACAGGGCTGGAGAGAGAAAACGCACACATTAGGCTATTTTAGAACATTTCAATGCTAAAGGCCATAGAACCCTGTAAAGTTCTTGCCAAAGCAGTCTGAGCAGACTCGGTGAACCCAAAATTGGAAACAGACTTTGAAGGACCTACCGGCAGGCAGGCCCTCTGAGAGGGAGGGTCACTCCCCCTAAGGGTGTGAGGGGGTGTGGAGGGGGTGGGG